CACCTCAAGTATGGTGAGGTTTGTGAGTAGTACGTGGCAAAATGTGGAGATTCAAGGGTCATTATAATATGACAAGCCACTGTAGCAAACGTGTTTGTCACATGACTGGTCACGTTTACGATAATCAGCTTCTTTTACAACTTTATAAAGACCATTTTAAGATCATTTTGTTTAAAATGAAGACCTACATGAATTACCAACAACCTAGGAAATGAATAAGATGAGCTTCAACTTACCTAATAACTCAACCAGGTTAAATATAACTCTGATGTTTCTTAACTCTGCCGTGTGATTCCAGTGCTTCAGCACTTCATCACAGTGTGCAGGTGCCTTCACCGCCATGGGTCGCCATGGAGACCTTGTATTAGTGCATCAGGTTTACTTACGCGCATTAGTTCCTCTGAATTGTGCTAAGGGATATCACAGCAGTCACATTCTTATTTGTAAAGGTTTAATTCTACTTTGTTGTGGTCTGTCCCCCATTAAAATACGTTGATATTTATGGTTGTAATATGCCAAAGTAAGACTAAATTAACGGATGGAAATAGGTGTCCAAATATAGTTTCCTGCATGTCTTTTTAAAACATTTCAAGGCCTAAAATATGGATATATAGATAAAATACTTTTTTAAAACAGCAGATCAACAAACTAAAAGGACCCAGAAGCCTGTACTCTTTAAAGCTTTACAAAGAACTTTCTCATACTCCTATCAAAGGTTTATTTCCCATCAGTTACCCCAATCTTGATTATCGCTGACATGAAAAATGCACAGCCTTCTACCACTTCATTAAAACATTGCAACCATGAATATGTGCATGGTGACACATTTTATTGCCCTGGCAACACAAATGTGTTAAAGTCAGCACCATAATCTCCTAGTAAAACTTTAGAAAAATGTCATGTTTAATTTAAAAAATACCCATTTGAAATTATTTTCTGCTTTCCTCCTCATCGCCAGTTGCACGGTTACGGCATGCCTCTTATCAGTGCTCAGTTGGTTAATTTTGTGTCTGTTGAACCATTTCCTTGTCAATTTCGACATGTTTTGGATCACTATCTCGCTTTAAGACCTATAAGCCATTTTCAGCTTTCTTGCATAGGTCATCTTTTTTTTCTATTCTTCCTGGTATTTCAAAGAGCTCATAAACTCTACCCAGGTTACCAGTTGCCAGGGTCTGTGGAGGAGAAAGCATGACATCTCCTCCACCATGCTTATTTTTTCCTCATATTTATCTTTCGCTTTGTGCATCACCTACTTTTAGCTAAATTTTAGTCTCATCTAATCAGTCTAGTTAAAGACTCTACCTCCAAAAGAACCAATTGTCAGGTAGACGACACGTAATGGCTGTCAGAGAGCCTTGACCCCAGGAGGTCACTCGTTTCAGAAGTTATCTAACATAAAGTTTTGATTCTTGTCTTTCCCTCACTTAGCATCCTGCTCTCTGAGCATGGAGGTAAAACTAATCTGGATTGTGATTCAGCCGAGCGGCCAGGCCCTCTGCATCGTGTCATATTTACATCTCATGCATTTAAACAAAACATTATGGATTATTAACTGGAAGATCAGAGAACAGTTGGTTAACTTGGGGAGGGGGGGAAAAAATCGACTAAAAATGCTTCAGCTACATTTGTTGTTGTTGTTCTTTTATCAGATCCATTTTTTGTGTCACCAGCAGTGGCACCTTCAGGGAAGGGTCCGGGGGGCGGGGGGGGGGGGCACAGCTCTGTATTAAAAAATAATACAGGTCTGTGTCTGTTGAACCATTTCAACAGACACAGACACTCTTGCAGTATTACAAAATGCTGCAAGAGAATAATGTTCATGTCACAGTAAAGTACACAGATACATCTTTTGTTTTGTTTTTTAAAGCTGTGCCCCCCTACATTTTCTGGGGGCACTACTGCTCACTTAAAAAAAAAAAAAAAACATTTACATCTTGACATGGAGTTTTTTTCTTCTTCTTTTATTTCACTTAATAGATGTCCAATTGAAAGTTTTCTCTAATCTTTCCAATGCGAGATTTTGCTTCTGACACTCAAAGCGAAACTATTCTAAGGCTTTTTTTTCTTCTTCTTCTTCTTTGCTAGACCAATAAATTTGTCCGCATCTGTGCGTGGACTTGCATGTTCATGTGTGATGTGGGAGTCTCTGGTGTTTCAGACCGCTGTATTATTTTTGGGAGGGCTGCTCCTTCCCTGCGGAGGGCCTCCCTGAAGAGTGCTTGCTCTCTGGGAGCCTGGCCAAAGCCCAGCCGAGCGGACCCTTTGGCTGCGGCGGCTCACAGCCCACTGGAGTCGCGGCCCTCGGCGCTCGGCCTGGCTCCCACAGACCCACACTGCACACAGATGGCCAGACCGCTTGCTGCCAGTCGTGCGTTGCATTTTTCACCGGTGCTCAGCCGGTGAATCAAGAGGATCCCTTCCTCTCTCAGATGGTTGGACGCAGCCACCCGGTCCTGCATACTGTCAGGGTTTCTGAAGTGGACAGCTGCGTACGACGCAGCATTTTACCTACGCTGGATAACAAAAACAGTACCTATAAAAGTCCCTGGACAAATCCTTTTCTTTTTTTTTTTCACGATTTAAACAGCCCAGACCTCTGGAAAACCCCAGCAGATGTCAACAGGGCGGAGGGTTCAGGAAGGGGTAGCTGTCCGCTTTTAGCTTAGACCGTTTAATCGGACGGTTTGTGCTGTGGGCGTGTGAGGGCATGTTGAACTCGGCAATGATGACCTAAAATTGGCCCTAATCGAGCAGACTCATTAGTCGCTTGGCGGTGTTCAAAGTTTCTCCAATCCGTCCCCTCGCCCCCTTCAGTTTACTGTAATCGGCCAAATGGGAGGCAGAGACGGGGCAAGCGAAACAGAAAGGAGGAGACCACAAGGCAAACAGAAAACATGGGAGAGCAGACAGAGAGAGAGAGAAAGAGAGAGCACACAAAAAATAAACAAAGAGAAAGAAAAAGAGGGAGAAACAGTCGACGCCTGCTTCCTGGCAGCCTCAGCTGCGAGCACATCTGTGTGTGAAGGGGTTTGAGCAGACCCCCACGTGTTTGCTCAGGTCGCCTGATTGCCTTTCCTTCCTCTCCCTCTCCCACTAAAGACCCCGCTGTCCTTCCTCTCACTCCAATCGCCACGGCCAAAAGCGAGAGAAAGGGGGCTACTCTCTGACAGACGCTGGGAGTGAGAAAAACACGGCTCTCATGACTCAGTAGTTTTCACACACGCGAGTTCACACAGAACGTTTGGGACTTCTGAACGCCAAAAACGGGGGACGCCTGCGCTCGTAGTTTCATCAAACGAAGGGGTGTGAATTTGTGGCTGCATGTGCGTAAGCATGAGGGTACGCGCATATGCATGACTGTGTGTGACTCCGGAGCCCTTCGCTGGAGCCTGCTGTCTGGGCACAATGGTCCAGCCTGGGGCCTTTGCTCCACAAAGAGGCCTTCTCTTAACAACGAGCCATCACAGATAGAGGAGGAGCCTGACCAAAGCATTACCACGCTTTAGGGATCAGAGAGCTTCTCTTGATGCATCTGATACCGCTTATGATTTTAATGACCAAGCACTCTTTGTGAAGGGGGAACTTCAGCGTAATAGCCGTGTGTACCGTCCCACACAAACATTTTAGAATAACACGCTTGCTTTTGGAAAAAAAAACAAAAAATAGGCCCAACATGGAAGCGGACTCATTAGGAGACGCATCCGAAAGCAAGGTCGTGCGAGGAGGCAAAAGTCAGCGACTTGTAAAGGTATTTATAGCATGTTATCTTTTTACCGCAAGCTTCTCTGTAACGTATTAGGATTTTATCTGATAACATTGGTTCAAACAGTGAAGATGAAACATTGAAATTCTGGAAAATGTGAATGGCTTTTGCATTCAAATAAAACCCAGTGCAACCAATTTCCTTCAGAAGACGCATGATGATTTGTAAGTGAACTTCACCACGTGTGTCATTTAATCCCTGTGTAAATCCAGCTGCTCTGTGAAGGACTCGAAAGGTTTGTAGAGAACAAACAGCACCACGAAGACCAAGTAACACTGCAAGCAGGTCGGGGGAAGAAAAATGTTTAAAACAACATCCAGGCCTTTAAACATCTCACAGAGCCCAGTCCACAGCATCGTCTGAAAATGGAGTGAAACCTACCGAGACACGGCCGTCCAAACTGAACTGAGATTGAGAGCTTGGAGATTTTAGTCAACTTTTAGTTATGCAGTCCACAAATCTGTCCTTCGTTTAAAAAGTAGCAGAAGGAAACGTGTGGAAGAACTTTTGGTCTTCTGTCAGAGGTCTGCATGATTAACACACACTGCACAAAAGCCTGAACCATCACCATGGTGAGACATGGTGGCAGCCGCCTAGCTATGTGAGGACGCTTTTATTTTGCAGGAACAGAGAAAGCGGTCAGAGTTTATGGGGAGATGGAAGGAGCGAAGCACAGGAAACTCTTGGAAGTATGCCTGTTCGATCCTGCAAAAGGCTTGAGACCAGATTGGATGATCATTTTTCAGCATTACGGCCTTTAACAGCCCAAACTACGATGGACTGAATGTATACTCATGAGTCATAATGGCCTTGTCAAAGTTTAGACCTGAATCCAATTGGGAAATTTAGACAGTTTAGACAACACAAGAATTGTTGTCATAGATGTCTCCATTCAAAGCTTGTACCGTCACAACCCAAGTATGGACAGAATACAAATACACACAACAGTGTTCACTCTTTCCTTTGTTATAATATTGGAAATAAATTTATGATTAACCTTCCGGTTCAAAAATGCGTCCTTCATTGTTTTGCTTTTTGCACATACAATCACACCAAATCACTTTCAAAAGGTGTCAATACTTTTGCAAAGCGACCCGATTGAAAATCGCAGCCTCTTTAAAAATAACCCATGTGAAATTCCTTCAGATTTTTTTTTTTTTTTTGTCCTCATCTTTTCTTTTCTCTCCACTCTGCTTGCTAGGACGTACATCTGTAAGAATTCTGGAGACATACGTTACTTCAGTATTAAACTTTATTTTCTCTTCTTTGTGAGATGGAAAAAAATGATAAAAACGTACAGCTCAGGGACTTCTATTCGCCCAAGACAGGTCAGTGTTTTTCTTTACGTAATAACCATGTAATTAAAATCATACGTTTCCATGTGTGTCCGGTGAAAGTTTAAAGAGTGAAAATAAATTATCGTAGCAATAATTATAACATCAAATATAACAACAATAATAGCAATTAAGCATTTATAAACACTCTATTTACTGTGTTGGGGTGTGGTTTTTTTTCTTCTTTTTTCTTTTTCCCATAAAACAGTTATGAAAAACAGGTGAGCACTGTGGTGCACAATCCAGCATGTGAAGAGAGCACTGGTTGGTTGTTGCCTTTCAGCAGTTCTGCCTGTAGGACGGCTTCCAGCACCCAGGAGTCCGTCTCTGTGTGTGTGCGTGTGTGTGTGTGTGTGTGTGTGTGTGCGCGCGTGTGTGTGTTATGGCGGCAGTTCTGAACAACAGCGCAGGGATGGACGAGGTGCACGTATCTCGAAGTATGACGGTATGAGCATGAGGTGAGAAACAGCGGTTTTCAGGCCCTCTCTGGAGTCTCCTGTTACAGGGTCAGGGAGAGGTGGGTACCAAAGTGACTTAGTAAAAATAAGCAAAACAAAAAAGAATGACAAGCTTCTCCATTCACTCCTCTCCTGTCAGCCCCCCTCGCCTCGGGGGACAGAGGAGGTGGGTGGAACGGACAAACCCCCTCGTCGCATTAGCTCTTCACAGAGTCCGCAAAAGTTCGCGATGGCCACCCCCTCTCGGCGAGGCCATGGCCTGACGAGGCCCTCGGTCATTCAGTCCAACTGAAAGCCACTGCACTCCGATCAACCGCTGTTTAGTGTCTGTGGAGATGCGGTGGGTCCTGCGTCCCTCGGGGCGGAGAGGGACGACCTCAGTGAGGCTCGGCCCAGACAGGCGACCGATTGGAGTGGTGCGGGTGACCGAATGACGGGTGAATGGGCGTGGGGGTGGGCAGCATGTGTCCCGAGTGGCTGAAGGGCGGAAGGTGACCCATGTGGGTCATGTGGCTGGTGAGGCCCGGCGCGGCTCCAAAGGGCGAGGCCTTGTCCTGCATGCACTTGGAGAGCTCGTCAAAGCCGTCCCCCGCCCGCTTGTTCCTCTTGGACTTGCTGGACATCTTGCGGTTGCGCGTCTGGATGCCTTCCTTCTTCATGGTCAAGGGTCTGTTGACCTGTTGAGGAGCGGGCACATTAGCTCAAGGCATGCCAAACAAAAGCCGCTCTGACAGTGTGAATGCTACACTATTGTGCTTCAAGGTTGTTTTTTGCCTCCCCACTTCGGCCGAAAATGTCAGCCGGAATCTCTCACTTGCCGCCAATTATCATGTACATGGCGTTTCTGTCATGGCAGTTGCCCTTCATGAATCGTACCAGTGTAAAGTAAACCCCATAAATAATGAGCAGCTGCTTTGCATGTCCACTGGCTGCATTCTGGGGCCAGTCAGGGGCGTTTTATTTTAGCTTTTGTCTAATTGTCTGAGCCAAACAGAACCTTCCCGGTCAATATGAATTCATGGGGACGAGGACAGGCTGGGTGTGAAAGGAGCAGCCTCAGACAAATCCTCATCAGTGTAACCGACGCCGTTACACTGAATGCCAGTCCCACCCGGCAGCCTCTCCGGGGAGTAACGCCCCCCATTGAAACAACGACGGATTAATAAAAAGAGACAACCGGTGTGGGTTCTGCACGACAGGGTGAGCAGGCTCTGCTTGCACACTCCTAAATCGATACACGCTGTCCGCCCACTTAACCGGTTAAACACCACCTTCGCCCCTCCACCCAAAACTCCACACATGGGTGAAAGTCTTTGTGTGTGGGTGTGTGTGTGTGTGTGTGTGTCCACTCTCTAAGCTTACTTACATTGTGTAGTTTGAAGTAGAGGCCGCAGGCATTACACACCGGGTCTCCGTTCCCGTTGCGCCTCCACAGGGTGGTGGTGGTGGTCTGGCAGTTCGCACAGCAGGTGCCTGCACGTCTCGCAGCAGACTGAGGAGAGCAGACAGAGTGAACGTAAACATTGTAAATAATGCTCCATTATGTCATTCTGAACAGGTCGGTTTGGGTGCAACACCCCTGGGCAACATGTGGTTAAGACGACAGTGTCTGTTCTCTAAAGTGGTTCCAACCTGCAAAATGACAGTAAACCTCTGACCCTGTCGGCTGACTGCGACAGTATAAATAATATCTCTACACATCAACACTGTAAATATATATTTAATTATCTATTTGCATGCACTGCTTCCATCTCTTTTGAAGGTGGTTTTAAACTAATTGTCCCCGTTTGCTTTGACTCACGAAGAGGAACCCAGGACCTCACATTTGTTGGTTTGTGACCCCGAATGGGGTCCTGACCCCAATTTTAGAAACCTCTGGTGCAAACAGAAAGATGCCTAGTTAAAAACACCACTGTTAACATCTAAATGTGGTTGGAGTTGGTCAAATCGACGTCTTTGTTTTGCTAAATTTGGATGGAAGCAACAATGTGAACAAAATTTAATGTTTTCAAGATAACTTTTTTTGTTTTAAATAAAAACGAAGGAGACACAAATTCTTAAATAACAATAAAAAAAAAAATCATAACTGTTCAGTGTTTTGAGGGCACGCTCCAAAAACACTTGTGGTCATCATTTCCCATATAGACACTGCATCAGTTAAGCCATAATATTCTAATTTATGAATATTGTTATTATTATTAATTGAAGTTTCTCCCCTTCAAGCCCACTTTTTGTACACACCTTGCAATTTCTTCCTATTGAATTTTGTTCACTTTCATGCTCATGTACTAATTAAACCATTTTAAGCATTTTTGTTGTTACATTAATTTTCATATATTATGAAGCAACTCGTGCATAAAAGTCATTTAAATGCATATAATGTTCTGCACCGTGTATTACAACCACTTTCCATTTGTGGCGGTTCAGATCCCCCTGCTTTGGGTGCTGATCATTTTTGACACCCCTCGTACTTCTGCGGTGTTCATGGTTTCACATTGACTTTTCGACAGCAAGCAGAGATTGAAATTGATTTTCTGCATTAAATAGTCGTTTACTGCACTGAAATGTTGGTATGTGACCTCAAAAAAATATTTATTCCGTCTCTTGGAGTTCCGATTAGTTTGTGAGGTGAGTATGTCAGCGGGCCCAAAAAAAGATCTAGAGTCACTATTAGTGGAAAATACGATATTTATGAAAATAACATGCAGTTAATTAGATTAATATGTGTGTGACGGTCCATCATCTTTATCTCCATGGTTCATAGAGAAGCCAACCTATATGTGGTGACCACATGTACATGGGCATAGCTTTTTTTAAGCTATTACGTATAAGTTTGGGAGGAGGAAATGGTACCGCACATTCTTACAATAATGCATAAAAATATATATTTATGTATTTTGCTCCGCAAATAATCTGCGGGTTTATTCGCACATTCTATTTTTTTCAGCGTGTCGCTGCAGGTAATTTGTGCGTTGCATTACGTAACCGGTTATTACCAGTTTGTAATGGAGGACCCGGTTGGGTCCCAGTGCGCGCGCCCTGATCCAGGAAAAGCTGCGCTACAGGTTGTGTAAGCGGAGCCGGTGTCCTCACCGACAATGCGCTCCCGCATCCATTGCGGATCAATTCTCCACGCATAATGAGAAACATTAAGCGAACACGCACGAACCCCTCCGGTTCTCTTCTCTCTCTTTTTCTTTTTTTTTTAATGTACGCAGCATTCAGGTTTTTCCCTTTTAAATCAATTTCAGGTGAGTTGGCGGTTCACTAACATCTATGCTCGCTCTTTTGGTTTTAAATCGACAAAATACGCGTTTCTGTTTTTTTTGTTTTTGTTTTTGTTTTGTTTTTCTATAAACAAATATAGAAAAAAAACAACCGCGCATTAACATTTTACCTCTGTCCGCACAGAATGACAAACAGGAGGAGGACCATAAATCCATTTATTTTCCAATGGCCGCCCCTCTCGGCCCGTCTCTTCACACATAAGCGGCTCCTTCAGTGTTGTGATAATCTCTTTTACAGTATATGTCAGCCGCGGCCGCAGAGAATGCAGCGCGCCGGGTGAAGGCGGAAACAGCCGGGAGCCTGACTTCCTTATCTGGCCCGGCCAGATATCCGGATAGGAAACAACTGGATGCCCCTTTGAACACAACTCTGAAAAACACTTGAGCTGAAAATGCAAAAATGCTGCACGGCCACATGGGCAGTGGAAAATGCGGGCTAATGGAGCTTTCATGGAGAAGGAACGGAGTGGAGGTGATGGAGGCGGAGGAGGGAAAAAATAAATAGAAAAAGAGCCAATCAGAAGTATCTTCAGAGATCGTCTAATGGCGAGACTAATTACCAGCTAATGTTTGAGAACATTTTGAACAGGACTATAGCCTTTGGAAAAATCTGAAGCAACATTGACCTGCTGATGTTACTCGTAGTAGTGATGCTAGTGGTATTAATTTGACCCAACCATAGCAAGATAAGTAAGTCATAAAATAAGGGGTGGCAGACACGTGTTCATTAGGAAATGGTCCTGTTCTCCAGCAGAACATTCGATTCATACCCAACAAGAAGACGTTTTGTACCCACTTTTTTTTTTTATCTCCTCGTAGTCTACTGTAAGGAGTCTGACCACTAAATACTGTCATAAATAAGATGTCCACCACCAGGAGGTTGGCTAGAGTTATTTTAGTATGGTCAGAGTTTCAAATCTGTCATATTTTAATAGAGTCAGTTGACCCAAACGAGAATCAGAACCAAAACAAACAGTGACAGTGTAATATAAATATTGCACACTGTTAAATGCAAATAAATTAAGATACACATGAGATTTGAGCATTTTCATGACTATTTAGTGCCATAATTCATAAACAGATTCAAAGACAGAGAAAAAAAAATTAATAATCATATGCAATGGTTTAAGTGCATGGATATTAAACTGGTTATTTACAAGTAGGAAAGGATGATGAAGCAGCATGTACAGGAAGGCACAATGATAGATAGATAGATAGATAGATAGATAGATAGATAGATAGATAGATAGATAGATAGATAGATAGATAGATAGATAGATAGATAGATAGATAGATAGATAGATAGATAGATAGATAGATAGATAGATAGATAGATAGATAGATGTGAGCATCCTCCTCCCACCGCTCCATTGACTCCATCGTGGTGTTAACTCAAGCAGCCTGGGCATCAGTATCAGTAACAGTATCAGAAGTACCAGCAATAACGATAGCAGGAACAATGGCAATAGTAGCAGTATTGTAACAGGCCGCGAAGGCGGATCGTCGGGGGGCGAGAGGGACAAACAATTCCAGGAAGATCATAGGGAAAATATAACTTTCCTGGAATTGTGCTGCCGGCATCTGCTTTGTGCTCATATTTGGGTAGCCGGCTCTCGGAGCACAGCTTCGGGGCGTAGAGCAAGAGTCGAGAGACTCACCAGTCTCCGCTTGGGCTTGATGAGCGGTCGATTCTGGCCGTTCATCTTGTGGTACAGTCCACAGGCGTTGCACAGGTAGTGGCCGGTGCCGTCCCGCCGCCACAGAGGGGTGGACGTGGCGCCGCAGTTCACGCACTCTCGCCCCTCTGCATATAGTTCAAGAGGAAGACAAGGGAAGGAAATTTTATATAATTAAAAAGTTCACCTTCTGTCAGAGGCGGCACATGTGGCAGCTGTCCGGCGCTATCGGGCAGCCGTCCCGCGCCGGGTGACCCCAGATGGCACTGTAACATGAAGAGAAAATCCGCCCGGCTTCGGGGACAATGTCCGCATCGGCGTGCAGGTGTAGCAAAGTGTAAGCGGTTGTCACGGACACAAACGGCTCCGTGTAAACCGATCCAGAGGCGGCGAGAGCATGTCCAGAGGTGTCCAACAAGAAGAATGAGACACACCATCAAATTAGGACTACATTATTTATCAACTCAGTGGGCACCCATGAGAGGAAGCATTAGTGTGAGTTGGAGGTATTAAATGTGGCAGACAGTGTCGCAGGGCTTGACGAAAGGCTTGCATGTCACTTGGCTGCTAATAATGACTTTGAGCTGGTTTCAAACCACAAATGTTCATTCTTTGTAGGTAAAAAAGAGAGAGAAAGAGAGAGAGAGAGACAGAAAAAAATCTGCTTTTTTAATCTTCCGTCCATGCCCTCGTCTCTCCCTTACAGGTTTGACTTCAAACAGCCTATTGCTAAACCGACAATTCACTTCAAGAATCCCTATTTTTCCCCAGAGCACCATCTCATTATTCCTGTTATAAAGCCAGCGACACCCAAAGTCCCACCCTTTGCTCTACAATGGAATCTGACCTGAGTACAAAGCTAGGCTCTCCTTTTGAAATGCATCTTTCTTAGACCTCCCTTCTCCTTCCTCTTAAGTGTTTCACAAGTCCGGCGACCAGACTAAAGAGGTCCTCATTAAAGCTGCAAATATTCATCAACCGTGACTTCTATGTTCTGTTTTATGCAACGCATTGTGTCGAAATAAGAAAAGAAAATGGGAAGGGTGAAGAAGCACCGAGCACAAGAAAGTCAGATGGGGGAAGAGCTCTCGGTTTGAGGTCAGTTTGACAGGAAGCTGCAGGACTGCAAGGTGCTCGTGCTGACAGCTGAAATGTCATTGTGGCATTTTGTACAACAGTCAATCAACATTACAGGCACCGGGCAGAGAGTTTGACAGATAAGAGGCCTTTTTTTTTTTTTTTTGAATGCCGTACAGCAGATATGTTTGTGTTACTGACTCGGGCACAGACTGGACGGCTTGTTTTAAATGTCACACTATAGCATTTCTCCTGCCACAACAGCTCATATTCACTCCAGATTGTCGGGCGGCCAGCATTTTCCCAGGTGTAGTTTAGAAAGATGACAGCGCTGATAAATTGCACAACTGCATCCGGAACGATTTGTTAACAGCAGAGATGCACCGATCGAGCTTCTCCTTTGCTGATACCTATTGCCAATTTTCTTTGAAATCTGACTTGCCAGTTCTGATGGTTCGATTTTTTTTTTCCAGTAAAAAATAAAAGATAAAACCTGATCTGAAGGTACTTTGATAGAGAAAACAGGATACTGCAAGATTGTGTCAGTTTACGTGTCGAATCTCACGTCCCTTTAGTCTTTATCTGATTTTTATGAAGCTGAAAAAAATGTATTAAAATACATATTTTTTGTTGAGTAGTTTATATACAGAAAATCTTGGTCGTCTTTAGGTTTGATGCACTAAACAAATAGCAACAAAAAAATAAACAATATTTGATGTTTTGATCACTTATTAAAAACAGATGAAGAAAAAAATCAGCCAGTTCTGATCTCTAGCTCAGTGCAAAGTGAATGTTTTAGGTTTAGGCATTTATGGACTAAAACTTGTGATTTTTAATACATAGATTTTTTTTTAATCTAAATTTTCTTTACTTAACCAGCCAAACATCTATCAGAGACAATCAAGAGAAAATTTACCAATTTCTGGACAACTGAATATCACAAAACGAAAGAGATTTTTCCAACTGCAGAAATGATCTAGTCAGAGATGGAAATTACTAAGGTGGACCTTTTGTTTTTACTTTTTTTTATTAGAATTTAATTATGCCATTTATCAAGGAACCTGCAGCACATTTTCTGTGTTATATTCATTATTCCTTAGAATAAAAATAGTGGAAAAGGTCAAAGTTGGAATCAGATTGTCAAAACTCAAAGAAATATGAAAAGCTGTCCCACAGTGCATCTCTTTTTTTGATGCATCCAAAATATAAAATATATAAGATTTGCCAGAATTTGACCTACAAATGAGCATAGTCATATCTGACTTCTAGCTGACTGGTGTATTAGTAGTTAACAAGCTGCTAATGCTGCAAGGCATTCTTTGTTAATTCAATGGAAAACAAGTGAAACAATGTGGGGAAATTACTGACTCATTACAAGAGTTGTGTTCTTTTTTTCTATCACTATTTTCACTTGGTTTCCCATTAGTGGAGAGCACACAGAGTCGTACAATTCCCCTACACCAAAAATATGCAAGTAAAAAAAAAATATTAACACCATGAGACTTTTAAGTGCAAAAAAGAAAAAAAAAAAAAAAAAAAAACAGCGCCGATGATGATTACTCAATGCTCTGCAAAATGCATTCTCATCTTCACAGAGAAGCGGGTCCACCGCTGTGGACGTACTGGGCCAAGGCCATGCTTAAAAACACAAACAGCAGGACTCTGTCGCCTGGGCTTTGTTAGGACTGTGGAGAGCGGTGGGCGGGGGGTTGGGTTGAGGGGGGTTGAGGTCGTGATTTGTTCACTTGGAGGTATACAGGATATGGCAGGAGCCAGGGCGTCGTGACTGCTTTATTTTCGAAGCGCAGTAAAAGGCCACGTTAAAAAGACAAAAAGAAAAAGAAAATAGTCTGTGGCACGAAAGAGAAGAAGAAGTTGCAATTAGGCGGTTTGTGGTGACGGAGGGTAACCAAAAGAACCGGATGAGTCGCTGCAAAGTTCTGTCAGTTTCGTCTAATAATTGCACAATGATTTGTTCCATTGAAAACACGCAGAGGAATCTGAGATATTCACGACTAATCGATTAGTTGAACAATTAAAGCGCATCCAACTTCCTTTTTTTATCTTGCCGTGATTTGATTGAAAGCTTTCATCCTGAAGTGGATTGCTTCTTGAACTGACCCCCAGCCCCCATCCTCCCACTCCACCCCCCCGTTAAAGTTAAATTGCAAAGAGTGAGACGGAACAAAGATAAGAGGTGTCAGAGAGGAAATGTTGCGTAGAAATGAAAGATTTTTTTCCCTCTTTTTTTTGACAGAGCGGCAAACAAATGTAAAAACTGCACAGGGAGGGATTTTAGGTCCAAATCTGAGCTCAGGCAAAATATGCAAATACCCTCAAGGCAATGCATACACAATTATATCCGCATGTTTAACAACAACAACAACTCTAACATTATTACCGTGCCAGATAAAACATGTGTGTGCTCAGTAACAGGCTGGATCGGGTGAATATGAATATAAATCGTTTTAATTGGCTTAATAATCTGATAATAATGCGGAGGAACGAAAACATCAGAGACTCACCTGAGCTCGACCTGGCTTTGCTTTTGCATTTGGGCGTAAAGCTGGAGGAAGAGCCGCCGAGCAGGCTGCCCGGGTGGAAGAGGCTGCCACTGTATTCGTGGGGCGTGGGGAGCGAGTAGGCCGGGTAGGTCGGAATGGGGTGATGAGTGGCCGCGGCCTGGCCGTTCATGGAGGCCAGGCCGCCGCGGAGTGGGCTGCAGCTCTCCATCTTCATGCCGTCCGTCAGCGGCACCTGGTACTTGATCGAGTCCTTCTCGTCCATCCTGGTGGAGGTCGGGGAGGTGGGGCCCGGGTCCGGGGAGACGTCTTTCGGAGGGGTCGGGGGGAAGCTGTAGAGGTGCGGGCTGGAGTGGGACGCGGGGGTGAGCGAGGACACGGAGGCCGTGCCGGCGCTGCTGCTGCACGGGTATCCGGAGCTGGCGGGGTGGAGGCCGGGTTTGCTAAAGTGGCTGACCGCCCATGCGTTGTGGTGGTGCGCGGCGGACAGGGCGGCTTTCCCGGGGTCCAGCCAGGGGATGCCGGGGCTGTGGATGAGGTGTGGCCGGCAAACCTGGTTTCCAGTGAGGCGAGCTGAAAATACAGATTTTTTTTTTTTTTTTACAAAATTATTATTGAATTCTTTGTAATACAATCAGCATTTAAGTCACATTTTATCCCACAACTTTAAGAGCAGAACAATCCTGAGACAAGTTGTAAAAGTTAAAATAAAAGATCTCACCAGCTAAAGCCTCAAAGTGGCTCAAATCCGACATTTAGTTCCAGACGTAAATAAAACGTTCAGGAAGGTTTTAAATTGTAGATCTAATTACTATCTAATTATATAGGCCTCGTTTCACTAAAATGACAACAGCCCCATTGTTGTTAAAACAATAAAGTCCCGCTGATCGCAGATAAAAGCAGCTCCAGGTCTGGACAGTACAGACTGGCTATCTTTTCCTCCCTGCTGCAGCTCTCGGACTAAAGATTGTTATTAGTAAATTTGCGGTTTTTATTTTATATCCGGGAAGTGCCTCTCTCTCTCTCTTTCTCTCTCTGCAGAACCCCTGCCCCAACACGGAGGGGTTAAGTGACATACTTCCCTTTCCTCTCGCTGTCATTTGCTAGAAATCCCTTTTATGTCAGTGAATTGGCCCAGAAATGTAAGGAGGAGCTTTTTACAATTTTATCACAATTTTTATTATTATTATTATTATTATTATTATTATTATTATTATTATTATTATTATTATTGAATTCATTTTAATGAAATTATTATTATTATTATTATTATTATTATTATTATTATTATTATTATTATTATATTGAGTGACACACATACTACTGTATATAATTTATTTTTGTGATAATTCCTCTTACTTTCATCGCTAGTTCCCTTACATTTCGTATTGTTCTATAAACCCGCGCTCGTCCTCACCGTGTGCCTGGCTGTACGTCACCCTCGCCCGGGAGTTGGTGTAGTAAGGATTCCCTTGGGAGTCCAAGTGGTTCAGAAACATGTCAACCTCGTCCTGGGGCAGCAAAGGCGCCATCGGTTCCATGTAGTTGTGGCTCAGACTGTGGTGATGGGAATCCGGGTGCTGGCCGTTCAGTACCGCATGATGGTGCGCCATCCACCGCGACTGATCCGCCGCTGCGACCTCCATGGCTCGGCTCTCTCTTTTCTACCCCCCCACCCCTCCGATTCCGGCTCCTGATCGGTCAGTTCGCTCTCCTCTTTCCAGTGTATAGTTCCCAGCTGTTTGTCGGCTTTAGAAATAGAATCCTTAAATAGCGCTGCGTTCCTCCTTCTCCTACAGCGATGACCTGCAAAGTGATGAGAGCAAAGCGTTAACTTTTCACCTCTGCATCCCTCCTTCCACGGAAAACAAGAAGCGTCCTGCGTGTTTTCTCTACTCGTATCGAGTGACACGTGAAGTGAGCTTTAGCGGGTCCTTGCGGCTTTGGCAAAGTAAAGAGCACAGCTGTGTTTGTGTGTGAGAGACAGAGTGTGTGTGTGAGTCTTAAAGCACATCCNGTGTTTGCAAAAAAAAAAAAAAAAGACACAAAAATAAAACGCAGGGAAAAGTTCTGTCCCGTTTGCGGTAAGTAGCTACCTGTTGCGGTTCCGATCAGCTGACGGGACACACACACACACACTCTCTCTATCTCTCTCTCTCTCTCTTTTACACACACACATACACGCACAAAACTCAGGCTGGATGTGCTAAACCTCTTGATCCGTGCAGAGCTCGGGCTCATTAATGAGATGTGGCGCAGACTGATGCGGCTGGCGCCAGTAAATTCCCATATCAAGCCAGGACGGGGTGGAGCGTCGCTCTGCGCCAATCACGGAGCGCGCTGCCACAATTGGCTCGCCGCATCCTCGCTCTCTCTTCTCCCTGCTTTTAAATTTCTCTATTTCTCCTCAACCCCCACAAAACTAAACGACTTATCAATCAGCAGCCCACTTTATGTTGTCTTTCTCTCGCTATCTCTCCTTCTCTCTCTGCCTCTCTCTCTCTCTCTCTCTCTTTCTCTCTCTCTCGCCAGAAGCTCAAACGGAGTGAACTTTTTTTTTTTTTTTTAATAACCAATAAGCGTTTTTAAGAGCTTAAAGACAGACGTCAAACGTAGGGAGGAAATTCTGCTTGCACAGTATTAATATGATTTCAAATAAAAAGAACAATTCCCTTTTCCTGCATTAAGCAGTCGAGAGGACAGAGATCTTGTTTTACTCGTTTCCTATCCGGACTCAAGATGCGATTAATTGGGTGTGTTATAGCTCTCTAATCATAATCATAATAATAACAAGTAAGTGCTATTGTTTGTATAGGGCTGTTATGTAAATAAACAGCGATTTTAGCACCTCTTAAACCAACAGAGGAGGAGTGAATTTATGACCCCCTTAAACTGGGTTTCTTTGCATTGTGCGGGGAGCGCCCTAATTGTCTTTAATTAGGAGCGGGACATTCCTCCCGAGAAAACAGGGTCCGGCCAGTCAGAGCCACTCTGCATATGCGCCCGCAGGGCGCCGCGAGGGAGGCCGCAGAAGATGGGCGCGAGGCCTCACCTGCGCGAGGACTCAAAACTACTCAGAACAAATAAAAAATGGCGGGCTACGTTAACCCGATAGGCGTGTTTAGCTTCTTTTTCTTTTTCTTTTTTCTTTCTTTTTTTTGCGTTAGATAAAACTTGAAATGCACAACATGCGGTTGGTTGCTCGCGACTGTGGTTGACACGTAAAAAAATAAAAAAATAAAAAATGGAGGCTGCCCCGGGCATTTACTATCCGACACACAGACGCCTTGACCTGACGTCCGAAAATGTGCAGTGGACTGAGTGACGTGAGACTTTAGGTACCTTTGGACATTCTAGCAGGTAGAAGTCCCTTCATTAAACGACGCCTCTGTTCAGGTCATTAGAGCAGCCATCATACACTCCTGGTTCGTTGTGTGTGAATGTGTGTGTACGTGTGTGTGTCAGTCAGCAGTCATTAAATCACTGGCATGTTGCCAGGGGCCAGGGGCCGATGAGCTTGGCCCCTTTGAGCTTGTCAACTCTTAAAATCAACAAATTAGTGTGGGTGTGTGCAATGGCAGCAATAGAAGGAAGATTGCACTATAAAAAATAATTTTGTAGGGTATTAAATATGAATTATTAGAATTTTAGTTGAGCATAAGTTTTTAAATGTAATGTTCAATAATGGTTGAATAAGATCAGTTTATTTTTCGTAACTTTTAAAGCTTTAAAATGACTTTAACTTAAAGGAAACCGCATTCAGACTTGCACTACAATCAGTTTTGGTGCCATAACAAACAAGACTGTTTACATATAAATTACAATGGATTAATAGTTTCACAACCTTAAGGTTTTTTTTTGTTGTTTTTTTGCCATGTCTACGTCAAAATAGAGTTTTTAATAATACATTGCTTGCCCTTTTGAATGTTGATCATTTGTTTGTTTTGTACCCAACGTTTTCAGGTAAGAACGTATCAGTCCAGTGGACGTTTTTCTACCTGCTAGAGAAGTAGCTTCCAAAGCTGGGGTTGAGGCCCCACTTGAGGTCACAAAAACATAACTTTGCGGTCAGGAGGTACTCTTATGAAATACCAAAAATGACGATTAGAAAGCTTATGGATATTAGAAATGTTGTAAAGATGAAGAACAGGACAAACATGGTGGCTAATATGATAGCTGTTGATGCTTATTGTGTGGTCATTGTACCATTTTTTAACTGGCTTGGTAAAAATACCTGTATGTTCAAACAAGAGTTGGGGTCATGACCTTCTTACATTTTTATTTTGCTTGAAATTTGGGGAATCACGGTGTCAGAGGACTTCCTGTCCTTACGTTTAGTATGCCATATAGTTCCTATCTGCTTGTCTAAATCTTGGAATTTAGCCTACTGGTTGTAAATTTTAAAATGGTAAAATATGAGAATGAAGTTAGAGTATTCTCTCAAGGATGTTTCTGTGTCAAAGCAAGAACTTAGGTTTGCATACAGCTAGCAAGCCTTGGCTTGTTTGGTATTGTCGCTAAATTAGCTAAACTAGCTAAACTAGCTGCAACTTCCTAACAAGCTGAGCTGAAGTAATTATCTTGACATGATAGCTTTGCTTTTGTTGTCAGGACCTCTTACAGTTACACTAATGTTTTACAACTTAATCTTAAACCACTTATCTGTTTCTTTTTAGGATGGGAGAACAAACCAGAGGAGAAAAATGAACAAAATAATTAGTAGAAATGTAGCAAATTTAACCTAGCAAGTTGGAATTGTTGTTTGGAGTTTGACTAAATGTGTTGTTGTTTAAAAGACATTTTAAAAATGTACCCAAAAATATATCCAATTCAGATGTTTCCATCAACATTATTAGTTTAATCCAACAGTCTCTGTTTCATCAGTCTATGGTAGCCTGCATTCAAGAAAGGGAGGGGGAAATTGTCAAATTAGGCAGGTGTGAGCATAAGAACATTCTTACCCTCATATTCTGTCCTGTAACTGAATGTATTTCATAGATGATCAGTCATCAGTAAAGCATTACTTACAGGAATTTAGCGTCCCTGAGTTTGGCTAATCGCTGAGCCTGTAGGATCAAATGGCTCGCCTCTGTTTGAGCCTGGATCCTGAGTGGCTGCTGATGCCGTTGGTCTTGCGGTTTTGCAGTGAAAGGACACTTTATATGGATACTGTAAGGTGTCACCGAGCCAAGTGGTCAGCCTGTGTTGTCTGGGCTGCGTTAAACACCGCAGGCCCAGGCTCAGGAGAGCGGCTGCCGCATGCCCATTGTTGTTTGTGTGTTTGCCAAATGGATTACTCAGCAGGATTTAGCTCTCTGTAATTCATACCTTCATTAATCCCATTTGTATATGCACCCCAACAAAAGATGGGGGAGTGTGTCGGAGGTGAGGGTGTGGAGTGAGTGGAGGGGAGGGACACGCTGCTGCTTTCAGTCTCTCTCAAGGACACGGCATTATTGTTTTCACCCAAGGATGCTACCCTGTCCTACGCCTTCGCCGGAGGACACCTCTTCCTCATAACGCCTCCTGCACGAGCGGCGGTGAGGGGGATTCCGCGGCGGCCGCGTCGCCGTGCGGCCGCAGCGGCTAATGAACAACAAGATTATCATTCCGATCCACGGCGTTATTAAATGGGATTGGCTTTATCTACCTGTTTGTTCCCATTGGGCACGGTCATCCATCATTATCCGGAGTGGAGGTGTGTGTGACTGCAGCGCCCGGCTCTGCGTGCTGCTTAGAGAGGTGTGTGTGTGTGTGTGTGTGTGTGTGTGTGTGTGTGTGTGTGTGTGTGTATCTTTATGTGAAGAGCCACAGTGGGGCTTGTGAAGATAAGCAGAGGCAGGGAGAAGAGAATGACACAAACCAGCTGAAGCATTATTG